GCATCCCTAGACAACCCCTCAAAATAAATTACTGCATTTGAGACTACTGCAGAGTAGAAGGAAGTATAGAATCGTTCCGCGTTGCCAGACTTGACCAAGCGACCATACATGTTTTTGATTTCGCTTATACCTCCATTTGCTGGATTTGTTTGGTAGGTGTTTATTTCCTCTCTAATCGAACTTAATTGGATACAATTTCTATCCAACTATTTTGGCTTTTGCTTTGTGGATGATTTCACAATAAATCTCGAAGGTGAACTGCTCTGTTTCCCTTGGCTTTTCGGACGAATCTGCACTATTTTGGTCTTTGTGCTTCGCTGTTTTGTGTCGCTTTAACCCACTCTTGCTTTTGCACTTCTTGGAACACAGTTCGCATACTAAGTCATCGAATTCGACCTATTACAAATAGATATGATATTAAAAAGATTACAGAATACCCGACATAAAAGCACGATAAACAGTTGAACTCGATCTTGTCAAACATACCGAAATGGTAATAGCAAAACACTTGTTTTCTCTCGCTTTTTAAACTGATCAGGAAGGTTATAATACTTACATCGTCAGCAGCTTCTGTAAAGTATTCATCTAGCTCTTCTTCTTCTTCTAAAATGTCTAAAATGGCATCAAAATCGTCTCCGAAAATAAAAAGTTCACTACTATCCGCCATGTTGCCTTGTAGTGCAAATCAAGGATGTGCACCTTCGTGTGACGTCACGGTACGTTTCAACCTCAGGAGCCGAACAATAGGCCGGCCCTTTCATGTATGCCGGCCTTCATAACCAGTCCCCTCTATTAACTATGCTAAAAGCATCGACTGGGAATCTTGTGTTGACAAGTCTGGCGAGATTATCGAGGCTTACAGTGCTCATTATCCCTCGCCATTATCCATTCTTCTTCGATCATTGTGCCATTGATAAAATTGTCCCACCATGCGCTTATCCTTCCTGCCGGGTCGCGTCCAGAATCACCTTCGGTGATGGTTCCCTCTTTTTTTGACTTTACGATGCCTACTGTTCATTGATAACAATCTCAAAACATCCTATCGATCTCTAATGTATTGTTTGTGTAAATTTATCTTAGCTGCATTTATCTGAACGCATGATATCGAACTAGAAATCAGAGCAACTAACAAAGAAGCTACAACCTTACTGTACGCCATGTTTGTTTATAATGCTCGCCGTGAAGACTGGATCCAAGAGAATGACGTAAGCGTATTCGAAAATTTCCGGATTCGACCGTCCACATGTATCCGTATTCGTATCGGATAAAGAAATTTCCACTCTGGAGAGCGTTATCAAAAATTTCCGGATACGGCCGGAAAATACGCTGGATACGTGTGGACGCAAGCCGTATTCGTAAAAAAAATTTGCGTTTTCACAAATTTCCGGATACGTGTGCACGATGCCTAAGATGACACATCTGGTGGGCTTACCTAAAACCCTGGGGCACACTTATTTTGTGTTTTTTTTTTTTACCCACGCGAGGTTATTAACTGCTATTAAATAACTTAGAAACAATGCGCGAACTGATCGATCAAAAATCTATTGTATATTTGCCTGTAAACCCATAGAAAACTGAGTCATCTTCCTGTCCTGTAAAATGGCTCCACACAGGGTGAATTCCCAGATTTTAATTTGTTTCAAGCCTTTGGTTTGGAAGAAACGAAGAAGACACTTGAACGCACAACATTATCAATTTTTTTTATTTGGAACTGAGGCCAAAAATAGTATAAACCTGTATATAGGTGGGACTGACATTGAACAATCAAAATCTATCAAACTGTTGGGGGTACTCCTGGACTCTGAACTAAATTTTAGTGAGCATATTACCTTAGTCTGTAAAAAGGCAAGTCAACAGATAGGAGTTTTTAAGTCGTCTAAGGAAACTAATACCCACTTACGCTAAACTACAACATTATAAAGCAGCCATTTTACCTCACTTGACCTACTGCAGTATCATCTGGCATTTCTGCAGAGCCTCAGAAAAACGTAAAGTTGAAAGACTACTGGAGAGGGCCTTGAGAGCAGTTTTCAACGATAAATCACTCTCTTATGACGGCCTGCTGAAGCTGGGTGAAATTCCATCACTGGTGAACAGAAGGCTCCAGGACATAGCAATCCTTATGTTCAAGGCAAAAAAGAACTTACTTCCTTGTCAAATACAGGAACTATTTATGTCAGAAGTAAACTGCGATAGAAGATATTCTCTAAGAAATGCAGATTTTAGAATCCCTCGCTTTAATACAGTAAAATATGGTAAACACTCTATAAGATACTATGGCCCTCTCCTCTGGTCGAAACTTACAAAAGAGTTACGCAGTGAAGACAGCCTGCACGGATTTAAGAGCAAAATCAGGAGAACGGACATGACTGTCATGATTGATGATGGATGCAAAAAATGTGCGCTCTGTAATAGTTGATTTTTAACTCTAGGACATTGATAAATAATTTTAACTGTTAATAGGTTAGGTAAATAATTCTGTAAATAGGTTCCAGATTTCTTATTTTTAAAGCTTTTACTGTGTGTCCCCAATTAGTGCTATGCGCTAGGTTTTCACGACACATAAATAAAGTTCACTACTACTACTACTACTACTACTACTACTACTACTACCTACTACTACTACTACTA